CTTCCCCTTCACGATTGTCCTCCCAAAGATTCAAGATATGAAAAGAAGAGCCGTTTCACCTCGAAGCTACCTTGGTGTCTGCATGACTTTGGAATCATATCGCATAACAGGCTGCAGAAGATATCCATATCTTCCCAGAAACAGAGGACTCCACATCAGCTCACAATAACGCCATACTTTATTGATCTCCGGGGGTGAATTCTATTTTTCATTGTGGATGACAGGAGTGCCGTGTCAGCAATAGTGCCGAGTCAGTGCAGCTGGCGGAGATTCGGAGTGTTGCTTCGAGATATTTCAGCCTGGCAGATGCTCGCCGACACAGGGGCACGAACCCCGCGTCATCCCGCTGAGGAGTGATCTCCTGGCTCGCTGCACTCCACCCGCTGCCCCCCCCGGAGAACAGCATCCCACAAAAAGCCATGCGGTTTGTTCCTCAAGAAAAAATAATGAAGTCCCCGGAATTGTTGTTATCAATCTCACTTCCCTCTACGTTTTCCTTTCCTCCCCCCCCCCTGGTGCTCCACGGGAATCAAGCTCAAGTTGGCAAATATCCACCCTGATAAAGTGACCTTGAGCATAACATTGAAATCCCCGATCGGCTCCTGGGATTCTTTTTCTGCAGCTCACCTCCGCACCGAGGAGATAACAAACAAAGATTTACTCCGTGACGGTGTCATATTCAATAAATTGTCTTTTACACAGCCTCCTCTCCTTCGTGTGCTCCCATTGTGTCCTCCTGCGCTCTGTGGCGGGTGCGATGTAAGGCAGTGTGCTACGAACGCTTGGGTATCTGGGTTAACAGATATAGTAGTAACTCAGCCTGACCGGGCCAGTGTGTGGAGGAGACAGACATCTACTTCCTTTGCTGATCTCTTACGTAACAGAAGCCTGTGGGCGTCTGCCTCCCAGCCTTCTCCCTCCCTTTCTGTTCTAAAGACCTATAACTACAGGATACATGCAGAGTAGGGCTACTGGGCAGCTTCCAAAAAGAATGAAAAATTAATTGCTTCAATAGCAGAGCCTGCGAGACACTGCAAGGACTAACAGGAAATGCTTCTCATCTAACAGACCTTGTAAACAAATCGAGACAACATTATAAGTAACATCCTAAGTCCATGATATACTGTATAAAGCCATTTCAATAGTGGCTATGATATTGCAAAACAAAACTAATAACAAGGGCTCTCGATTATTGGTCTTTACATGTCCCGTTTTGTCTTCATTTAATGTAAAACAGAGACATGCAGGACTTTCTATATATGTTATAGTCTGAAAACAACACAAGCATTTAAGACAAATAAAACAATTATTGATTATTTCATGTTGGCCATTATTTTTCCTCCAATCAACTAATCGCTCTGCTGATAACAGAATAATATGATACAAGTCACATTCTAAGGGTAATGTTTGCTATGGCACTGCAAGTGACAATTATTATCATCAACAATAAATCTAGCTGTTTATTTTGTAAACAAACATCTGTCCTAAACTCCAATATGTTCAGTTTACTATCATAAGATTTAGACGGTAACTGAAGAGCTGGCACTATAGAGTGTAGTTTGAAGTAGAAATGGTAGTAATATAATTATTGATTAAATCAGCTGTTATAGGCTGACCAATAGCATACAAGCTAAAGTTTAGAGCATTTTGATTTTAAAACCAACACCAAAAGTCTAACGCGCACAGTATGTGATATTCCTCTGGATTTATTTAGATCAAAGCTTCACATACAAACTCTGAAGCACTGACAGCGTCCTACTCTGGGTAAAACATTCCAATGAATAGCTTCATTTGCTTGCCTCCTGCATCAGTAGACAGGATGGCCAGTCATGCCCATCTGGGCGCTCCGTGATGGAAGAGTATTGATTTTCAGACAGACGATGCATGTCATATCAGAGCATGAGGCTGTTTATGAGAGCCCTCATCAGGCTGAGAGCACCATAAGGGATGGATAATCATTGACGTTCACATACAGTGGGTGCTATTAAAACACATGTTCAGCCTCACTGTCTCACATGCTGCTGTGTCTTATCATGGCAGATTTTCCAAACAACCCAACTGTGTCATTCTGAGGGTGTGTGTGGCCCAGTTGGCACTAACTCTGGAGCGGACATGTTGTTGACAAACTCAGAAGGGTTGAAGACTGCAGAGGCAGAAGCCATTATACCAAACTACGCTGATAAGAGCCAGAATGTAAACACTGTGATAGGCCTTGATATGATATGGAGAGGTCTGAGTTGTTGATAAGGAGAGAAAGTCGTTGAAAGATTAAAAACGTACGAAAGGAAGAATTACATTTCTCTTTCACACAACTCAAATAAAATATGCAAGTATTCATTTCATACTGAACAGTAGTCATGGGAAAAGATAAACGACATTTTGGGGATAATATTGTTATACTTTATGTTGAGTTTCAGCATGATAATGTATCTTTCTAAAATAATCAATTAAGCTATAGAGAGCCATCGGCACTATGATAAGCTTTTACTGGCTGCCAGCAAAAATGCAATCAATAAAAACTGATGCATTACTACTAAACCTTACAATAAAATGGATGTAAACAGTATATTTCTAATGGCAAATCTGACATATCTTCCGTGTAACAAAAGGGAGACCTTTCCAAGAATATGTGAGGAACTTCTTAGGAAACAAGGACACTAACATATCTGGGTCTGGATGAATAAACAACAATATGGACATAAAGATAACATAGAAATAAATCAAATTGTTCCTATAATTTGTTGATTTTTTATGTAAAATGTCTTGAAATTGTCACTGAGTTACAAATAGGTTAAATGAGAGCAAATGTCCTTGCAATAAAAGAGAAAGTGGCTTATTTTAGGATTTATACCTATAAGTGTTCTAACTCCTCATGCATTTTACACCAGCGGGGCTGCAGGAGCAGGTTGGTAGGGTCTGAATCATGGTCTGAATATGCTTTATATCTGGACCAAGATGTGTGTAATAGTAACACGTCACTGAATATCATATAATGACACTGGTAACTAATATCAGCGGCTAATTGTCCGCATTGTTGTCTATTTAGGTTCACACATAGCATTTGAGTCACTAGCTCAACCTGGTATGAGCACTGCAGTATTATTAGCCACCGAGCCAGAAAGGAAGAGAGGCTGACAGGCACCTACGACTGTCACCGACAGAACCAAGCAGAGCTAACAAGCTTAGTCAAGCTCCCGTCGTGCAATAAACAACATGAAGTCCATGTCAACACACAACAGTGCTCCAATAGCACCTTCCAGAGAAGCTAACCCCAGCTAGCCTGAGCTCGCACCGCTTGCTCCGGCTAGCGGCTCATTAGCATGGCTAACTGTCGGTACCAAGGCAACACAAGCAAGGTATCGTTAGCCAAGTCATCCGTTTAAAATGTGCACACAGTGTTTTTAAGTCCATGTGTCCCAGCTAAATCTCTGACAGTGTTTGTAATATGACCCTGAATAATTGCAGCAACCTTGGTCGCTGTCAAGCAGTGTAAACCCCCTGGTTGTCACTGCGGACAGAGGCAGACCCCCGGCCCGTCCCGCAGGCGCTGCTCCCGCATTCCCGCTGCTCTCCTCCCCGCTGAGGAGGCGCAGCAGCAGCGGGCCTGTTGTTGTTTACCTTCTTGTCAATGCGGACGGTGAAGACATCCCGGTCCTTCAGCGGCTCCTTACTAAGCACCAGCCCATGGTTGAACTCCTGGACTGGCTGGTTGCGCCGGGCGGTTCGGTTCGAGTTGGACAGGCCGATTAGCTTTCCGCTCCGCGGATGCAGCTCCGCCGCCATCTTCAGTGGGCGGCCAGTATTCACGACAGTAACGGTTTGCGGCAGTTGCTAACGGTGTGTGGCAGCGGGTAGATAACGGACTGCAATCTGACTGCAATCCATAGGACTGGACCGACTGGACCGCACCGCACCCATTTCTGTATTGTGTGCCAAATGTATTAAAACACTTTGAGCTGATGTATGAAATGTGCTATATAAATAAAACGTATAATTGTTATTATTTATTTTGTATTTCTCTAATAGCCTACGTGGACTACAACAAAGATGATTAACTAGTTTATAATGTTTTGTTTACTTGAGACTGTGCTATATAAATAAAGCTTTTTTTCAATTATTTTTATTATTATTATGTCTCTAATACGTGGACTACAACAAAGATGCTTTTCTGGTTGATAGTGTTTTATTCTTGAGAATGTGCTTTATAAATAAAGCTTTGTATTATTGTTGTTATTATTATTTATGTAATACATGGACTACAACAATGATTACTTTGTGGTTAATAACATTTCATTCTCGGAAATGTTAAACACTGATCTAAGCAGGCTTAGCATGAAAGCTATTAAAGTCATGAGAAATAATACAATGGAAATATTTCTCGCATACAATAAGAATATTATTTACCAAAACAAACCTAGCCCTTGATTATTATTTGTTTGCCTGTGTGTTGAATTTGTATATGCACACGATCCTATTTGTCTAACATAAATATCTTTAAGCCATGATGTTTGCAAATTGTTAAATACAAAAATTAAAAAAGTCTGCGGTAGGCTACATACAATTACTCAATAGAGCATTCATTTTCAACTGGACATTTGTTCATATGCTAAAATCAATTATTGGATGACAAACAATATAGTTTTCCTTTTGGTGTTTCATTGTAAGAGTAGCATAATTCACTCTGGATGGTTTGACTTTAACATTATCTTTAACAGTCCACTAGAGGGAGCAAAATCCATGTCCTAAATCTCCGCCTCCCTCATACATTACTCAATACTAATAATTAGTGTTAAATCAGTGTTTCAATTTCCTTCAGTTTGCTTAAAATATGTCGTGTAATAGCCATATTAAAAACAATCATATTTTTTTCAAAATGTAGCTAGTGGGAGAGATATATTTTCAACAACAGATTAATAGTTTATTGAAAACTCTCCACCCTTTAGGAGTTTATTAATACAAATGTCAAATTTGCCTATGGAAAAACCGTAACCAGACAAATATTAGTTTTAAAAACATTGTATTTTTTTTTGTTTTAATTCGAACCAAATGCATCTGAGTCCACATATTGAACATGTGTACTTTCATTTGTTATGCAGGGCAGCTGTGAGAGACGATTGATGGATGTTTGACAGTAAAATCCAAATCCAAATCCCTGCCCATAACCTGGATCATCTCCAGGCAGCCTGTCAAGAACTGGGAGCCCACATTGTCTTCACCCTCACCTGAAAAGTAGAAAAGAAAAACTGTTGACCTTGTATTGCAAACTTGTTCTTTTTATGCTTCAATGTTATTTATGGTTATAAACGTTTCTATTGTGTTTTGTTTTTCTATAAACACTGTCTGCAAATCAGATTTCTCTTTGATATAAAGACAAGCTGTTCAGATATTATTTAAGACTGAAAATATCATCGCTTTTTAACCTTACCTAAGAGACCTCCAAAGGCGATACGACCGTTTCTCCATGTGGTCAAAAAACCTGAGTTTCTCACTGATTTGATTTGTAAATCCTGAAATTTGGCTCGAACTTGAAGTACTTGCAGCATCTCTTCTTCAAAGGTTATCACCAGCTTCTTGAAATTATCAGATTTCATACTGATTTTTTCTGAACCGAACGTGAGGGTGACCTCCTGCATGTTCAAAAAAGAGAAACAAAGTTAAGGTAATATAGCTCTGTGAATACATTCAAAGTGGTCTCAAATATGTATATATCTGCAAATGTGAAGAGATGGAAGTGTTCTCAAGTTCAGTTCATCTCAGATGTTTGTTCATACCTGTGTGTTATTATCGGCCATTAAAGTCAGCATCATCTCTTGCCCAGGAGCCCTGATGCTCAAAATGGTCCCATGCATCATAGTGAAATTTCCCCGAAATTCAATCTTGACCCCCTTCCCGCCCTCAACAGGGAAAACTGCACACCAGAAAAAAGTCACAAAATTAATACAATTTGAAATCAGGTGAAAAGTATATTGCTACCTAAAATGCAATGCTATGTAAGAATGCATTATGCTGGCCTGTTTGAAAGCTTGTTATAATCTGGGTAAATGTTGTCTATAGCTTGTATAATTGAGCCAAATGTTTCCACCTGAGGTATTGAAAACAGCAAATCCAGTGCCAGGGAAGAAGCTGCCAGGAATTATGTCTTGATAGCAGGGCCAGAGCTCCTCCACCTCCACCTCCCAGGGGGCTCTGAGATTCAGCCAGCTGCCTTCACGCACACAGCCGTCCATCTTAGGATCAAACTACGGCAAATAACAAAAAACATTGCATTTAGGGGAGAGAAATGCAAGACAAACATGTGAGTGGCTCAGTATTGTCACAGTCCTGTTACAGGGTACTTAGACCACCAGAAAACCCCCTTACAGTATTGTTACAACTTACTAGTAAAACAACAAAAAAACACACGCTGTGATTTATAGACCGACGTAATGGTGCTACGTCTGTTTTATTACCAAGGATAACTGACCACATGCTGACACTAAGTCATGTTGCAGTGTGGTGCAACACCAACATTGAAGTCAATTTTCAGGTGTTAGTACTTCAAGATGAAAAACAAATTCCCCTTTAAAGACTCTTCAAATCCTTTTGTGATGACATTCAAAAGTGCAAGTCATTTTAAATCAAGGTCCTCTAACTGAGCTTAATTGCAAAACTATTAAGACTTTATGAATAGTACCGTTTAGACTTCCTGAGAAAACGTTATTAACTTGACAGGTTCATGTTAATTTAGTGAAAGTATTGTATGAAGTAAAAGAATGTAGTTGACACATCTTGATCACAATTAGGCCATATCATTACAAAATAACAGGACAGACAAAATGTCACCCACTACAAAGTATTCCAGAGTAAATGAACACTATACCTGAATCATCATCTTTTCCTTGTCGATTAAGATCCCGCCGAGGGCTAGTCGGAGTTCCCCTGTTTGGACCTCCTCTGTCTGTTTGGACGGCCCCCCCATGCCCACCACCAGCCCTTTGGAGCCGTCCACATCTAGAATCACGAAATTCTTTTGGTTGCTCACCTCCAGCTGGGAGGCACCAGGAGCATTCAGACAAACAGTTTTTCATGTCCAAAATACTGTATGATTATTATTAAGATGTCCATTTTGAGGAAATGAGATCTGTGTTATTTAGATCCTTATCACTTGCTACACATTTTTTAAAAACTCACTTTGTGCCATTTTCCGTCGTTGAGCTGGGGGCCGCCTTCCGCACTGACATGGTTGCCCCCGATGCTGAACTGCATCAGAGGGAGGCCGTCTTTCAAACCCAAAACAAACCAGTCGTCCCCGTTTTTGGTATCTCCGTAGAAAATGGCACCTTCCGGGTCAAAGGTCCGTAACTGGAATGTTGACTTTATACTGCAGAAACAGAACAGAATAGTCTTAAATTCAAGGAGTTGCAGGTGATTAAAAAAAAGATGACCAACAATACTTTGCCTTACATTTTACCCAGACAAAGTAAAGATCACTAATAGTTACAGTAGGAGCCTACAGTTGCTCAAAGGTTTTGCAATGAAGGGTTTTATAGGTTTATGTTATCAGAATTAAGGAGACATGGATCAACACTTTTCCAACAGGACTAGAATTCCTAACTGGGCTTTCGTCTGCAAAATTTGATCCAGCTTACAGGTCCGGCATTAATGTTAATATGAAAGAGCCTTTTGCCTCCTACACCATATATTGTCAGCAAGAAGTTGATGTGAGGCCTTCCAGACCAGCTCCTGCTGACGTACCTGCTGATGTCACTGAGGTTTGACGTGGTGTGGATTATTGGCCTCCAGATGTCTCTGTCCTGGCCGAGATAGACGGTAGCCTCGCCTGATACTACTTTCTAGAAAAGGCACATTGTCAACAAGGTATTTATTTAACACGGTTCAGTTCTTTTTATTGCACAACTCATGTTCATTATCGTCCTGATCTTGGTGCCCAAATGGTTTAAACCGTATTAAACTGAGGGATTTCGTTTTTAATTAGCTAATGAGTGGTTTAGCAAGGGAAGTGCAAGCAGTAATGTAGTCCAAAATCAATGTGAAGGAGGACCATATTGCAGTTACTTAATTACAGTATATTAATAAACAATCAATCAATCAATGTTTATTTATATAGCCCAATATCACAAATGTTACATTTGTCTCAGTGGACTTCACAGTTTGTACAGAATATCAGTATGACAATACGACACCCTCTGTCCTTAGACCCTCACATCGTACAAGGAAAGACTTCCACAGAAAACCCACAGTTTAAAGGGAAAAATGGGAGAAACCTCAGGGAGAGCAACAGAGGAGGGATCCCTCTCCCAGGACGGACAGACGTGCAATAGATGCCGTGTGTATATTGAAAAGATAATACATTTGCAACATAGATAGTCCAAATGTTTGGAAATGCATGTGTGTATAATAGGAAGATGAATCCACGAGGATATCCATCCAGGACTCATGATCCAGGACTTATGATCCAGGACCACAGCCACGACTCAAGATCCAGGGCTCGCGATGCAGGACACAGGACCGCAGGATCATCCATGACTCCGGATCCCGGCGTATATAGACACCAAAAAGAAAGAAATTTGGGGAAGCTGGGTTAATCGGAACATGAGAGTACACAGGTATAGACAGAGAGAAGGAAGAAGTAAGATATCCCCCGACAAACTAAGCCTATATCAGCAAAATTAGGGGCTGAATCTAATCAGCCCTAACTATAAGCTTTGTCAAAAAGGAAGGTCTTAAGCGCACTCATAAAAATGGATAGGGTGTCTGCCGCCCGAACACAAACTGGAAGCTGATTCCACAAATGTGGAGCTTGATAAGAAAAGGCTCTGGCTCCCATTGTACTTTTAGAGACTCTAGGAACAACCAACAACCCTGCATTCTTGGAACGCAATGCCCTAGTAGGACAGTAGGGTATAATGAGTTCTTTAAGGTAAGATGGCGCCTGCCCATTAAGGGCTTTGTAGGCGAGAAGAAGAATTTTAAATTCTATCCTGTGTTCTATAGGGAGCCAGTGTAACGCAGCCAGAACAGGAGTAATGTGGTCCCTTTTCCTAACTCTGGTTAGTACACGAGCTGCAGCATTTTGAATCAGCTGAAGCGACTTGACTGACTTCTTGGTACACCCTGATAATAAGGAGTTACAATAATCCAGCCTTGAAGTAACAAATGCATGGACTAGTTTCTCTGCATCGCTTTGAGGCAAGATATGCCTGATTTTTGCAATGTTACGTAGATGGAAGTAGGCGGTCCTTGAAATTGATTTTATGTGGGCGTTAAAGGATAAATCCTGATCAAATATAACACCAAGATTCCTTACAGTCTCACTGGAGGCCAAATTAATGCCATCCATAGTTAGTATATCTTTAGATAATTTGTTTCGTAGATTCTTCGGGCCAAGTACAATAACTTCAGTTTTGGTCGTGTTTAACATCAAAAAGTTTAAGGTCATCCACGTTTTTAAGTCCTTGAGGCAGTCTTGAATTTTATTTAGATGATTAATTTCATCAGGCTTGATTGATAAATATAGTTGAGTATCATCCGCATAACAATGAAAATTTACAGAATGATTCCTTATAATATTGCCTAACGGAAGCATATATAATGTGAATAAAATAGGTCCGAGCACTGAGCCCTGTGGCACTCCATGGCTAACTTTGGTTTGCGTGGAAGATTCATCGTTGACACGTACAAACTGAGAGCGTTCAGATAGATAGGACCTAAACCAGCCTAAAGCAGTTCCCTGTATGCCAACTAAGTGCTCTAGTCTTTGCAATAGGATATCATGGTCGATAGTATCAAATGCAGCACTGAGATCGAGCAAAACAAGAATAGAGACACGTCCCTTGTCAGAGGCTATTAGAATGTCATTTGTGACTTTAACCAGAGCTGTCTCTGTGCTATGATGTGTTCTAAAGCCAGACTGAAAATCTTCAAATAAATCATTGTTTTTTAAGTAATCACACAACTGTTTTGCGACCGCTTTCTCAAGAATATTTGAGAGGAACGGAAGATTAGAAATAGGTCTATAGTTGGCTAAAACCTCTGGATCGAGGTTGTGCTTTTTAAGAAGCGGTTTTATCACTGCTACTTTGAATGATTGTGGAACATAGCCTGATAATAAAGACATATTCATAATATTTAAGTGCTAATTAATGGAAAAACTTCCTTCAACAGCTTAGTTGGAATCGGGTCTAAGATACACGTTGATGGTTTAGAAGAGAGAATCATTGAATTTAATTGTTCAAGGTTTATGGCTGAAAAGCATTCTAGTTTACTATCTAGTGTAATATTAGAACTTACGTTTCCGGGAGCTGTTGATAACACTATACTGGTCAATCCGCATTCACACCGTTATTATCAAACCAGATAGAAAATCCTTCAATTGGGCCAAAACAGCGGATGTTTTGGATAGCGCCCTTATTTGTCCTCCTACGATCTGAGCAAAGTCCAAAGTGTAAATAAAGTATTATGAGGTCAGGAAACAGCTCTTCAACTGAAATCTGAATTGCATATGAGTTGATTTTAATCTTTGACTTTTATAAAGCACGTTTTGTATTCTCAATCTTTCAACAACCTATAAAACAAAGCATGAATTAAAAGACGTTTTGAATTTTTTTAATTGTCTTTTGTACTTGCCATTGTGACTGATGAATCTAAGAATTACAGAATGTGTGACCTCTAATCAATACAAAATATATATATTTCACATATTCGGAACAATTAAGATATGACTTTATTAAAGCTACAAAATGCATATACGGTATCATGTTTATCCATATTCATGAGGATTTCATGTTGAATAAAATTAATTAATTGATCACACAAACTGGAAGATTGACAATAAAGTTGATTTTTTGATATGGCCAATGAATACACAAGATTTAGACTATCCTTAGACAATTTTAAAACAACAATCACACATACCAGTGTAACATACCTTTGCTTGTGTACCCCCCTGCGCCTCAACTCCCCATCCCAGCAGAGTGAGGCTCACAGTGAGCAGCAGTCCAGCTGCCATTGGTTTCCAAAACACGGCCATCCTTCACTGTCTTCACACACCCAGGTCTCACAGTGTCCAGACAGTTTAGCCCTTAGGTGATCTGGTTATACCTGAGGTGCAGTGATGGGCTGAGGAACAGAGTGCAGGAGGTTTTAGAAGCGGGGGTTGAGCAGGCTCACTGTCCAGGGTCCAGAGAGCACATATTTATTGGTGAATGCCCAGTATTGATCCACACAGGGTGCGGGGGTATGACTTTTGCAATTAGGTTAGACAAAAGACGGGGCAGCAGTAAAACAAAGAGTTATTTAAGAAATAATCCAACATTTAGCAAACGTTTTTTCAATGTTCATTTATATTGGGCTGTATATCTCTGGCTTTTGTGGTGGCTCATGTAGAGTGAGTCAGGTGAGTGACCTAAGCCAGACTGATGTTTACCCAATACACAGGAATCACTTCTGTGTTTTCAAAGAGAGAGAGAGTAATGAAAGATTAACTCTGCTACAGTTTTTTTCTTTGCACGATTCAAGTGACACATTCTCCTTCCTGGAAGGCTGTAATTTCCAGGTAAAGTGCAAAACCCCACACACATACACAGGAAGGGACAATCGTTTTTGTTTAGGTGTTATTCTGAAATTCATACCAAAACATAGCATTTCTCATGTTTGAACTCAAAGTCTGTCACATGTCTATTAAGTTTGGCGTGAATAGGCATTTTTTTCACAGTAGTTTTATATTGTAAGTGGAGGGAAGTAGGCTACGTCTCTGGGGCATTTGAAAAAAAAACACAGAATGGTAGTGTAGTAATGTCAACACCTGTGTTTTTTCTACTTTCCTGAACTAAAACGTCTGCTTTGGGAAAAAATACCGTTGAGGTCAAATCATTCCTGAAAATCTGAATTACTTTTGGCACTATACCTTTAAAACCCAAAAATCCCTGATGCAATACATTTACTTTTTTTATTTCATTAGTATCTCTGACATCACATTGTGAGAGTGCAAAGTTAAATGACTGACTGTTTCTGTTCAAACCACTGAGTGTCACTATTGCGAAAGTGTTAAGTTACGGATGATAAGGAATCAACTCCCTGAAATCAGCAACAAACAAAAAACAACGTAGACGTGGCTGCGGTTAATTATTCATAAAAGAAAACACCTGGGAAGGAATTACCAAAGATAACAAATACTATTTACAACATAGGTATAAACCAGTGGACCATGTGCTTAAAAGAAGTGCAAATGTGACTATATCTTGTTCTGCTTTTATCAAATCACTAATTGTAAAATGAATCTCAGTGGACAATAAGCACCTATTATTATCCAACAATGTGGAAACAGGCATACGCCAACTTTAAGCACATGGTTCACATTAAGACCTTGAGATCAACATGTAACGATTAAAAGAGACTTGATTTGAAAAACATGAGGCCAGACTAGTGTTGATTTCATTGGGTCATCAGGTTAATACTTTATTTTGTTTGATTGCAGCAAAGATAAAGGAAGGGAGAGACGGAAACAAGGGGGAAAGAGAGAGAACAGGAAGAATGTCGGAAAAAGGAGACTACAGACTTTGGGAGAGCTGTGGCTACAAGCCTTTGTATCAAATCTAAAGACAAAGTCATCAGGCAACATTAAAACATCTTTTAAAAATAACATTAACATATTTTGTGGGCTCTATATGGCACAGTATTACCCTAGACATGTACACGATACCAAAACAGTTTAGCCACACCCCTACGTCTATGAACAGCTTCATAGCAAATAAAGCCATGAAATCTATCTCCAACTCTTCGTCATTTCTCAAGAAAGCGCTTCATTTGCTATTCATATTTCTTATGCCATAACAAGGCACCTTAACAGTTGAAATCTGGCAGATTCACATCATACTATAGATAATTATTTAAATATCAAAGCAGAGGCACATTCATTAAAAACGAAAACATACAGTGAGTAGTCTTATATTACCACCAGATTCCAGTTCGGTCACTACAATACGTCGATTTGCATGCTTTTGGTTTGTATGATAACCATGATGGCAAACTATGGCATAAGAAATGGTCCAAAACACAAACATGTCCATCTAGAAGGAATGGCTTGAGATAGTGTATTGGAGACAGCAAGGCTTTTTTACACTGAAACTAACCCACAGGAAAATAAAAAAAGAACAAGTGGCCCATATACTGCCAAGGGGTCTGCTGCTCCGGCAGATTTAATTTGGTTTTCATATTCGCACAGGCACTCACTCTCGTACACAAAACACGTACGTACGGCTACCCGCAAAAGGCTTGTAACCACACCCAAGGGGGATGTTTGTGCATCCCTGCAGTTGGTCACAATGTGTTTGAACACTCCTGTCTGATCCAAAAGGTGCCAGAGAACCATCACACATGCACACACACTGAAACATATGCACTTCATTCAGAGGTGTGCGAGTGTGTGTTTGAGGGAAGAAGGAGAATTCTCCTAAGTAGTGACTGTGAGAAGTAAATGTGGCCCCATGTTTTATGGAATTGTCTACAATGAATACAACAAAAAATGAAAAAAGGTATGAGGATGAAGAGGCCAGAAATATCTCCAGAGGAAGGAAACGGAAACAAAAGCTGTGTGCACAATGCCAGATCTGCTGAGGATATAAACGGTTAGGAAGCAAGTGATGCTCATGCTTTGTGGATACAGAACCCAAGTTTACTGACATGTTCCTAGGACTACTGTATATATGCATACCAGACGTTATACGGTTTCTTTAACAGGTTATTTGTGTCAAAAGAGAGAAAAAAAAGAACGATCTCTACCATTAATGCAGCTGTACTTCATTAACCTCATGACTACATTTACATTCATATTTTAAAGTTTACTCGCCCTTTTCACTGAAGCCATTTCCATCTGGTAAAAGGGCTAAACAACATAACCAACAACATAGTTTAACAAAACAAACATATAAAGATAACATTACACGTAAAACAAAAAAGGCCCCAGGAGGGCACCTGGGGGGGTTTCGGCCACCGCTTTGGCTGCTAAGTTCAGCCTTTTCCTACCTTTTAGTAATAAGGGAAGGAGGAGAAATAGCCCAGGCTATTCCCAACACCCCTCAGTCCCCTCGGTTGGGGAGCAGGACGTTTTTTTGTCCCCAAAGTCCTTTCTGTGGGTCCTTCTGACTCAAGAGTCCAACAGTTTTGTGCCCATATATTCTTTTCCTATACAGAAAATACCCTGAATCCATTTGTCTTTTTCCTTCCTTGCTGTCACTTTCTTCTTTCTGGCTTAGGAAATGGAGCCGTTTTCTCTTCCAATCAAAGAGGAAAAAGCTATACAAGATGAAGGCTGACTGGTTTGTATTCTTTTCCTTATTTTACATGAAGGAAATGAGATGAGAAGCGGAAGTGCAATGGCCTACCAGCCTTTATTTCTAACCCAGTGGCCAGCTACATATCCCAAGCAGCTACAAGTGTCCCCATAAAGTGACCTCTACTTTTTCTATTTTTGTGCACATAATATAAAAACTATGGTGAATGCTATAAAGATCCTACAGTGCCATTTGGCCCCCAAGTCGCCAGGTTAGTCGAGACATTAGAAGCTCAAATGATCTGTCATTGTCATAGACTCGCATCCAGCCATAGCATTTACTTCTTAATGATTTGGATATGAAGAATCACTTCTAAATGCACTTCTACACATTGACCTACAGCAGCCATTCCAAATAGGAGGAATGCTGTGCAAGTCTCACACGGAATGATCTAGGCACTCACACACATACTCCAAAACACACACTTCAAAGTGTACACAGTCATACCTGCTAAGGCCCACCTCCGCATGCACACATTCCTGCTCGCATGTGCATGTACATATTGTCATGGACAATTTAATGACAGGATACACCTTCATTCTCATTCACTCATACAAATAAGGATGCTTAACACTCCACCGCCAGCTGTGTTGAGTAAGGACTATTCTGTTTCATCCCTTATCCTGATCTCATCCACAAGCCTTCCCTGAAGACTGTTTATCCTTGTAACATGGTGGCTATAAAGGGAAGCAGAATCAACTAATGTGTCACACAACACACACCCTGTTAGCAGTTCTTATTGTTATTGATAATATAATGAGTCAGAGAGGAAGATTAATCAAGCTCTAGAACTACGACACACTACAGCAAGACAGGAGAGACGCTGAGAAAGGTGAGCGGGAGTAAAGAGAGGGGATACGTCACTGGCCCCTCTCCCTGCTCCTTCTCCTCCCTTCATCCTACTCCAGATTTAATGCCTAGCTCTGATCTCCACTCATTGAAAGAGAGGCAGGGATGCTGTGCGAGTGTACTCAGTGACCCAGTGAGCACCCACCCCTCCCCTCCCATCCCATCCTTAACAGGCCAGGCCGTCACCACTGAAATATATTCCTCAGAGTGCTTCTGTGTCCTACGGTTTGCTGCTGTCTCGCGGCTTCTTGCTGCCGCCGCTGCTGCTGCTGCTGCTGTAGAGCCCTGGGTTTGCCATAAACTGGTGAGGGGCTGCTCCCATGTAGGGGCCGGCGGTGGCTGCGTAGTTGAAGATGGCCGGGAGGAAAGGCAGAGGCTCCACTTTGTCCCCCCCAGGTGCCATCATGTTCAGAGTCACAGGAAGAGCAGCCAGGTTGTAAGGGTAGGCCAGCAGCTGGTGTCCGTAGAGCAGCTGGTAAGGGTCCGGATAAAACGGCAGCTTAGCCAAGTCCCCGCCACTCGGGACCATCATTTTCCCCAGTGGGCCGAAAGGAAGAGCTCCAGCAGGATAGGAGGACATGAGCAGGTTTTCCTCCTGGTTTTTACTGGAGTGGTAGCTGTCCGGCACAATAAGGGGCAGGGGGTAATTATGGGAATGGTAGCCCACTGGGGTGGCGTCCCTATCTCTGGAAGATACGGTATCGTGGTGCTCCGGCTCAGGTGGTTGAGGGGCCCGGGGGAGAAGCAGAGCGTGGGCGGAGGGGCGCTCACACGCACCAGCTGCTCCAGTGGGCAGGGGGAGTCTGTCGAGGCCTTGTGAACTGGAGTGAACCTGGCGATTGGCCTGAGCTATGAGGCCAATAGTTGAGGGGGACCGGCAGGGGGATTTGGGAGTGTGCCTGTGTGACGAGGATCCATTCATAGTGGTTTGAGGGGGGATATGCTGGGGGGACGGCACAGGGCTCAAGGGCTCCTCTTTAGGGACCAACAGAGAAATCTGGAAATCTGAAATCTCTCTACTTATTTGATGGGACCTCGCCATCTCTTTTTCCCTCTCCCTTTCTCTCTGTCTCTCTATCTCCCTCTCTCTCGCTAGAATGGAGGACATGGTCAGGTCTTGTGCTTCGTCGGGAGAGGGACTCCTGGACAGCGACTGAACTCTGAGATCCTGGACCCGAGGGGGCTCCTCGTAAACCATGTGACGAAATATCCCGCTCCCGCCCTGCCTCTCTCTGTCCATAATGACCCCATCCCGTTTCATAAATCCCCCCTCGGAGCTGAGAGCTGTTGTCATGGAAACAGGAGGAGCAGCAGTGGTTATTCTGGTCTGTGACGCTGTGGGCACATTTTGAGAGGTGTTGCTGGATGCCACGATGTGCACAGGGCTGGGTATTCTGTGGATCTGGCTGTCTAGGCTCTTTTTCCCGGGGGTGCGGTAGTCAAGACATTCAGGTCCATTCATGACCAGCACACTCTGGAGAGTAGAGGGTGGGGCAGGAGGGAATTTAGTGGGAGTAGGGGTTACTGGGCTTTCTAATGGAGGGTCTGGACTGGGCTCTCGCTCTAGAACCGGATGTGTGAGCTCAGGTTTGTCACCGGATTCTGACATGTGATGTTCGCGTGTCGGTTCACTGAGGGGGTCTTCACGCTGCCGTGATGCCACAGAGTCAGTACTGCTGGGCGGGTCTGGTGTTAAATAGCTGATAACTGACACAGAGAGAGCACTGGGGCCTTTTTCCGTCTCTAGGTCTCTGCTAACAGTGTTAACAACTGTCTCAGTCGTCTTTGGCGATGAATCTCTGTCTTCCTTTTCTCTCTCTGGGGAACTGCTTAACTCATGGCGTCGGATATGGCGAGTTAGCGCTGAAGATGTCTTGCAAACCTTGTGACACTGCGGACAGGTGTGTCGTGATAGCGCTCTTCTGCTTAGGCGACTCGGACTTGAATTCCTCCCTATTTGCGCCCCTTTTTCTTCATTTGCAATCTCTGGCACAGGTTCAACTTGTTGGCCACGTTCCTCGTTTTGGGGTACGGTGGGGGCTTCAGCAGGCTTGGGATGCTGGGCTCTCTGGTGGTCCTCCAACTTATCCCTTGAGGGGAAAGTGGCCCGGCAGAAGAGGCACACAAACTCCAGCAGATGGTTCAGCTCATGTTTGTCTCGCTTCCTGGGGCTTGAGAACCAGCGGCCGCATGTTCCACACTCTGCTGCGTTCCCATTGGTCCAAGGCCGCCTCTTTATTCCCGTAGGAGCCGCTGGGGTAGAGGGAGGAGGCTTTGGGGAGTGCAGAGGAGGAGTGGAAACCTCCTGACGGGCCGCTGCAACTTGTTCCTCTGCCTCTTGTTCCTCTGCCTCTTTGTTTTTCTCCTTTAACGGGGCAAAGAGATCATCTTTCTTTTTCCCCTCTCCCATGTCTCTGTTAGATTTCGACACTTTTTCAGCCTCCTCCATTTCCTCTTCCTCTTCCTCTTCCTCTTCTTCTTCTTCTTCTTCTTCTTCTTCGTCTTCTTCGTCTTGTGATTTCTCCGTTTCTTTACTCACATGGTTCTTGATTCTATCTGTCCTCCTCTTCAACCGGATGGAGCGCTTGAACTTCAGTTTCCTCTGCCAGCTCTTGACCCTCTGTAGATGTGCTTGTGCCTTTTTCTTAGGCTTGTAGGAGTAGTAAGGCCGCCATAAATTATCCTCTTCATCGTGGTCACTCTCCTGATGACGCACCTCCCTTCGGAAGTAGTACTCCCTCACTTCATCAGGAGATTTGGAGCTCTTTTGCTCTGCCTCCTCCTCACAATCTCCTCCCTCCTTATCACCCTCTTCTTCCACTCTGCGGTGGGGGCGGTGTTTATGGTGATGGTGGTGGGAGTGTGAGTGGCGTGTGTCCTTGGCATCCCGCACTGATGACGTTTCACCCCGTTTGGGTTTTGGAGGAGAGTGGCTCTTGTCTCTCCTAAGGTCTGTTTCGGAGATGCTGCGCTTCACTATTGCTTCCTCGCCAATACGTACAGTAATCTGGCACAATGGCCCCGCCTCTTTGACCTGTGACCCTACAGACGCTGACAGCAGCTTTGAGTTCGACATGTCGCTCTTGCTGTGGGATTTCCGTGATTTGTGAGATAATCTGCCCGTCTCCGCACCCTGTCTACCTCTTGAGTCCTCCTCTGTTGTATCTGAACTGCCTCTTGACCTCTTTCTGTGTCTATCTACACTATCTCTCTGTCTTTTGAATGATCTGGGAATGCTTTTGTGTGAACTGCTGCTGGTTTCAGGGGACTGGCTGCTCACTGGGCTTTTTTCACTCCCAGAGGTGACCTGGTTGCTATGCATGATGACGGAGGATGACACTGCTGTTCCGTGAACTATCACAGAGGGTTTCGTGTGGCCATATGTTATCACAGAAGGCATGCTTGTTTCTGAGCCTCTATCCGTTTTGGGAGTTTTGGTTTTGCTGCTACTAGACATTTTGAAGCTGCCTCTCCCCTGCTCTAACTCCAGGGCCTCACTCTCATGTTTTCTAACTTGGGGCATGTCCGATTGGGGGAGGGGTGTTAGTTCAGAGAGGTCCCCGTCCTCAGTGGACACGGAAACAGGAAAGCCATTAGGGAAGTCATCTGGGTCAGGCTTTACACTCTGAGGGTGGGCCCCGCTGATGAGGCTTTGGAGGTCCTCAGGGCCCAGAGTACAGCCTAAGCCGGGCAGGGAGAGGGAAGGTGTCTCAGTTGGTGGCAGAAGCAGGCCATTATGCAAACTGTCACTGTAAGTCTTGTAGGGTCTCTTCTGGGAGCGCATGGGAAGAAGGCGGTAGAGCTTGAGTGCGTTCGCTTTCTGCTTGTAACCCCCATTGGCTGTCTTTTCGCTGGAGATGAGGCTGGGGTTAATCCCGTGGATGGTCTTCTGGTGTGTTTTGAGATTGTAGTAGGTGGCAAAGGCGTCCCAGCAGAAGATGCACTGGTAGCGGCGCTCTCCTGTGTGCCACACCTCGTGCTTTGTGCGGTACTCTGCCAGGGCGAAGACCTTGTCGCAGAAGTGGCACGGATACTTGCGTCGCCACGAGTGTACGTTAGAGTGCCTCTTCAGGCTGGAGAGGGTCATGTAGGAGCGCTCACACACGGAGCAGAAGTAAATGACATTGCCGTCTACCACCTTCACAAAATGGTGCTCATCACCTGCTAGTAGCTCTGCGGCTGCTGCATCATCACCTTGGATACGTGCAAGGAGGCTCCGGGCTTTCTTCCCCTGCCGCACCTTTCCGATCTCTGATTGTCCCACGATCACTCCCCCCTCCACTCTCACCTCGCCCTCCTCCAGCGGCTCCTCCTTTGGCTGCACAGTGAGAGGAGGGGGGCCAAGGCTGTTGGAGGGAAGGCCTGGCACCCGGCAGGAGGACTCATGGGATTGCAGTCTCTTGCTGTGGATGAAGACTTTGCCACAGACGCGGCAACTGAGGACGCGGCTGCCACGATGCAGCCGCATGTGGACTGTCAGGGAGGAGGCCGAGCTGAAAAGCCGATGGCACACACCGCAAATCAGCTCGGGCTTCAGGCTGGCTGTGGGGGGATAGGATGAGGAGTGAGGGGGGTCGGTAAGATCCTCCGACGGGGGAGGAGGAGGAGGCGGTAAGGGAGGAGGGAGGTGCAGGGGGGGCGGGTGAAGACTTGGTCCGTGAGGGCTTCCCACTTTCCCAGCTGGTCTTTTTTCTCTCCTCTCTGTATCCCCTCCTCTCTGATAGGCTGACGTGCCCAGACTGAAGAGGATCTGGGCCGTTTGAGAGGGGGAGGCGGTGCTGTTGGTTACCCTGTGCCTCTCGTCCCACCCGTCTCCGCCGTAACAGCCCGAAGATCTCGGGGGAGACCTGTGGAACTGAGTCTCTGAATTGAGTTTGGAGCACTTCAGAGGAGGCGGGGATTTTATATCTTTCCTGCTAAGTGCATGAACAGTCATGGGAGATGAGGAGGAGGAAGGCGAAGAGGACGGAGAGCTGTCGCGCCTCGGGGGCTTAAAAGGTCTGTGCTTTACGTCCATGGTAGCATCCAGTTTCCACAGCGACCCCTCGTCCGAGCTCTTGGAAGATGGCCGCCTTCGGTGAGGGGAAGGGGAGGACGAGGAAGAGCTACGACAGTGGTTCGGAGATGTGAGGGAGGCTGGGAGGGGGGCGGCACTAAGTGGGAAGCTTAGGGTGATTTTTGCATTTTTAGGTCCGTCGGCCATGTCCTCCAGCCTGTCCTCCATCATGGCCTCTCCCCGGCCTACGTGCCTTTTACCCTTCATCTCCACCGGTTCCCCTTCCTCCTCCTCTTCTTCAGAATGAGAGGTCCCTCCAAGACAGTGGACTTGTTTGTAAAATCCTTCGATCTTGCTTGAGCCGCGGAGATTGACAGGCAGGCGTGAGGAGTCCCGGGCCGGTTGAAGGGTGTCTACAGCCACTAATGGCGGTGACGGGGAAGACAAAGGTGACAACCGCCGACTCTGTTGGCACGTGGTGTCCTTAATTGCACTGTGTGTGATTTTGCAGAGGGGAGTTAGCCCAGCAGCCAGGTGTTGTTCACTCAGACGTGACTGAATAAGGCCCGTGTGGAGGGGGTCCCACACCTTTTCACCGGACACCATGACCAGCCCCCGAAATCTGAAAGAGAAATCAGAAAATATGTCTTAGCTTTATGAACTTCCTCAGAGAAATGCACGATACTTACATTTATATCGACATGAAGCAAATAATTACATCCAAAGCTTTTGCAGTAGCAGCCATGATGCCTGTGGAACACTTTTGAGAAAGTGAACCGAATGCCCCAGCAACACTGAACTCTAACGGCTCAGCCAGGAATGGTGAAAGGAGGGAGAGGGTAGGGGGGAGGAATGAATCTGCGGCAGTGCTGGTTTAGATTTCAGCGTGCCACAACCAAGCCTTCAGAAAGGCATTCCAGAGATCCATCTCTCTCGGCTGTGACACAACATTCCCTTTGCCTAATTGGAAGGCGTTCAGATTTAATCAAGATTCTCTCAGAATAGAGTGTTGACTTAGATCCATGGCCCGAAAAGCACGTAAAAATAGTCCCACTCTCTCGCTGTTTGAGCAAGAGGCTTGTTAGCCATTCCTGGCAGTGGCCAGTGTTTGCCGGGCATGACTCTAACCATTTATTTGTGAAGGCGGAAGGGAAGGAAAGAGGGGAAGAGGAGAAGGAAGGGAGATTGCATGCATGTGCACAGAGAAGGGGTGTTTTTCTGCCTTCTGCATCCGGCACAATCTCAGCTAAGCTGTGGAAGATGAGCGACAGGCCATTCTCATTTCCATTCTAATTTGCCCGCCATGAGGGCGCATGCAGTTCTGCTACAAATTCACCGTACATAAGATAACTGCAGATTCTCGCCCGAAAGGCAATTTGCTGTTATTACTTATTCAAAACAGGTTCATTTATTTAGGTCTGCAGATTGGGGAGCAGAACGGAGACGATATAAGGCCATAATGATGCGACGAGAAGAAAAATCCTCAGTCATGCTTTTCTGCCTGCGTTTTCAAGCAGCAAAGCAGCCAGGAAGGCAGGCCGCTGTAAAATTCCACAGGCAGCCCTGAACAGGCAGAAACTAGGTCAGCACTGTTATTGCAGAGGGAAGAGGAGAGAGAGAGAGAGAGAGAGAGAGAGAGAGAGAGAGAGAGAGAGAGAGAGAGAGAGAGAGAGAGAGAGAGGAGAGAGAGAGAGAGTGAAAGGGTGATAGAAAAAGGGAGAGAGACGCTGAGGGTTAGTGGGAGAGCAGGAGACAGAGAGAAGGATAGAGGAAGAAGAAGGAGGTGGAGGGGGGGTGTTGAAACAGGAACAGTCAGACACACTGCACTGTCAGACAGACAGGAGCCCAGGCAAACAATCACACTCACAACAGCACATGACAAACACCACACGCATGCACACACACAAAATACAAACATGCATGTGTACACAGCCCTATACGTACACTTATGCATGCCCACAAGCAAGACTGACAGGCATAAACAAAGCAGTTCAACAAGGATGGGCCCACTTGTAAATCACATTCAAAACCAAAAGGTGAATCTGAGTGCAACATGGCACTGACACTAAGGGCAGAACAAAGTAAAGTCAACAAAAGGACAACCATGGTGTCTATGAGTGATGTACTCACAAGCACATGTTTGTTCTTGTACGGGGACAACAAACCAGTCCAGGCCATACAAGATGTATAAAGAAATAGGACACAGAATTCTGTCTCGCCAGGCTTGCCATATTGCTTGTTTGTATCGAAACAGGCCTTCATTGTCACTCACATTTGCTGAGCAATAGATGTTGTGCAGGAAATCCCTTATGGCAAGTCTGCTACAAGTGGGCGGAAACACTGAGAGACAGCGCTAAGACTAAACATTTCACCATCTCAACTGATGCTTGCGCCGGGGACAGGAAAATGCGTATATGTCGCCCCCTCGCTCTTCTTCTTTATCTCCCTGTGACGCACACAGGCGCTGCACAAGCAGAGCCAGCACGACACGCCATCTGACTGTGACAGGCAGCTTCTAACGTGCTTTGAATGTGCTGGATTCACTCATACGTGTATACAAACGTATATGACACGCAGATATATACTTTTACCTCTTAATTACGTGAGCAGATGGATCCACACTAACATCCTTCTCAAATGTGACCATGAATGTGGCAAGGACTCTAAAGCTAAATAAAGATAAACAGCAACCTTGTTCCCACACCTCTCTGTGACAGGGTGTTTCTGCACAAAACAAACATGTTGGTCAACCTGTGAAGGGTTCATCTATTTAGGCCTGTGGCACCTCTAAACAGATTCTCAACTGGTGCCGGACAAATGACTAACTAGACACACGTAAACATAAAACACCTACAAAACGCACTGGCTTTGCGATAAGGACAAATCATCTTAGCGAACAATGGCCTGCTTTCAGCTATACTCATGGATTCAACTTGTATCCCATAGCTACGGAAGACCATTAGAGCCACATGTGAAGTTAATTTGAGCAATAGGGCCACATGTTATTTTGAATTTTCATTTAGCTTTGCGAATTGTTGTTAGACTTTTTGCTAAGAGTGCAAAATAAAATTCACTTTTGGCCCTTATAATCTTCCACGCATATGAAATGACAGATAGGAAGCTTTATTCTGGGAATTTTCATTCTTTCGAGTTCAAAATTATTAGAAAGTTGCAGAACTCACGGATATCCAAAGACCTACTTGGATCGTAATCCTAACAAACCGTCTGCTTGAATTTTGGGACCAATTCAAAAGAGCTGAAGTTACACTATTTTACTTTACCATTAGCATCTGGAGAGCATGGATGACTTTGGAAACCATTAGTTAGTAATCCACTCAGTTTAAATGGTCAATCAATCACTAGGAACATCAGTGCTAAAGCGGCCTTGCATAATATGAGGCAGGACGGCAGAGTCGTTTGGTTGGTGCCAACTCAAGGCCTTGAACCAGCCGTTGAGCAATCTGTTTATTCCAACACTGAAACGAGTTCTTGTAACTGTAACTGTGAGGATTAAATCACCATGCTTGTTCTTTTGTTTTTTTGCCATTTTCCATCTCAAAGAAAAATCCTTAATAAGCCAACCACAAGCATTGTAATAATGTGCGGTTCAAACTGACTTTGGCTCCAAATTCAAAAGTTTTGAGCCTTTTGGTCAAATACTTTATATAATTGAGGATTATCACAGCAAATTACATTTCAATACTTTTCTAGTACCACTCAAATTACTTTAAAAATTCAATATGATTGTAAACAGCTAACAATTTTGAAAACCCCTAAAATTACAGCTAAAAAGATCAAGTCATGTCTACTTTCCCTACACTCTAACCATTGAAACAAAATCCTGGTTGATTATAACTTCGGTTTTCTTTTCATAGGTATGTCCACTATTGAGATCTGGGAACACAACAACGTCGCAAAAGCATAACCGTGTGAGGCCAAGAAAAACTGGTGATCAGGCGACAGGCTTTAAATGAGCCAACAATTTAGAGAGGACCTAAATCACTGTATTTTGAGATGAAACAGACAGTTAGCACACCCAAAACTTTGGTAATAATCCCTTATTACACAGGAAACCTATGTTCACAAAGCAACAGTAACCTGACTGTACTGGTGCCTGAAATACTGCAGAACTGAACCAGGAAGTCCGTTTTTAATTTTTGCATTTCACTTATTTCTTTTAGCAGCTTCACCGCATTCGCAGATCCAAGCATAAAGGTTACTGAGTGCAAAGTTATATTGACTGATAAGAATGAGGGTCATTCGAATAAACCAGATTCATCCTTTAACCAAAACGTTAACGCTGATGTGCTGTCAACATATGTGTGTTTTTTGGGAGGGCGGGTTAAGGGGAGTGCCTGGAACGCAGAATGTGGGGGGCCTCGGTTTTCCAGCCGGTGAGCCAGCCAGCCAGCGGCGTGTAGCATGTGGGAAGAGGAAGGTGTCGGTTGGGCTTTCTCCCCAGTGAGGGGCAGCCAGAGGGGCCCAGCGATTGGAGCAGCAGTTGGTCTCTGAAGAGGAGAGTGTATGTGTTCGCAGGAAGATGTGTGTATGTGTGTGTGTGGGTGGGTGGGTAGGGGGGCATCGTTAGCAAGAAAGGCTACTGAACTCTCCACAACCCCCCGGCCAAATGAGCGTGGTGGAGCCGGCCAGATGGGATAGAGGGAAGTAGGAGGTAAGGGAAGTTGGGGAGTGGTTGAGTGGAGGTGGTAGTGGTGGTGGTGGGAGCTCGGGGGGGGGGGGAGGTAGCGGTAACTTCAAACACGTCTCGCCCATGTTCGCATTTCATGGTTTCCTTGTCTTTCAGATCCCCCCTCAGCATGACTGACCCTCTCTCCCCCCCCCCCCCCCCCTCTAACGTGTAAACTGTCGTATTGGTGGTGTTTTCGCATGCAGCTCCACGCACCAGCGAAACCTGCCCATGTTCTAAAATCGCCACACTCTCCACGCTCCGTTAACTCCCAGCCCAGCACGTAATTCCAATAATGCCGCTCGCTGCAACACAATCGTAGGAGGCCCCTCGGAAACAGTAGGGCCACAATAGTAACCCCGGAGCGCGGTAACACTACACCGGTGACCTTTTTGAGGTAATTTACACAAAATCATTTTCAATTTCATGCGTGCTCCTTGTTTAAAAAGGGGTGTGAAAGCCCCCTTTGGAGTTCTCAGTCTCAAACTACCAAGACACATTTGAGTTTTAGTAAGGCTGAGCCAGAACGACATGTTACAACAGTCACCGTAAACTGCAAGTAAAACTATGGCAAGTTAGAAAAGATGAAGCGCTGCACCGAATTGCATTCACATCCTTATGTTCGTTGCATATATTAAAATATCTGCATAATCAAACAAAGCAAACCAACTTGTTCTTGAAGTCTTTAAGAGTTGCATGATAGCATATCTATGAAGAGTAGAAAAAAGACAAATACTATTCTCCAATGGGGGACCCAGGCACAACTGACCAAAATACAAATGACAACATCATCTGTGTGACGCCACCGAGCAGCGAGAAAGTACACTTCCTGTTGCTGACCTCTGACCCCTACCCTACTGTGGCAGTGTGCATCATATATTCCATATAGTAAGCAGAGGGGCTTGGCTTGGCATCCATGGAAACCAGGAATGTGG